AGATATTACTAGTAAATTAATATAATATAAATAAAATAAGGCTTATAATAAGGCTCTAAGAGAATAGCCTAGTACTAAGGTTATTATAAAAGTAAATTACCCTAAAGAAATAGTCTAGTTAATATTATTAGAGTATAATTTTTAAGTGTATTTTAGTAACTAAGAAGAGGCTAAAGCTACTAGTTCTTTTTAATAGAAAGAATGTTTAATAATAGTGGTTTCCTAATAAATTAGGCTCTTTTAAAGGCTAGTTCTTTAAGGTAATAGTAAGAGGTTAGATAAATAATAAAGTAGTAGTATTTTAGCTAAAAGTAATCTTTTTACCTTAAATAAGACTACCTACTAACTAGTAATATCTTCTTATTTTTAATAGCTATAGAAGTTATTATATAACTAGATTCTTATTAGAATATTATTAAAATAATATTTATATATTATTCTTACTAGCTTATAACTCCTATATTCTTTAACCTCTTAATATAACTATATTTAGCTTAATTAAAGCTAATTATTAGAAGGAGCTTAGTATATAACCTAATAATACTAATTCTTTACCTATTAGTAAGTAAATTTTTCTTAAATACTATACTATTACTAGAGAAGCTAGATTAATAGAAAAAAATATTTAAATTAGCTAGTAAAAGACTAGTCTTTAGCTAGTTAATATAGCCTAGCTACTAATAAGTAATTTACTCCTTAATCTAGTTAAAATAATATTATAATTAACACCTATTAAGCTAAAAAAAGTACTTAAAGAAGGCTTACTAGAGGTTAAAATACTATTAAATAAATACTAGCTTTAGCGCCTATTTTATAATAATACTTAATAGTTAACTAACTAGCGGTTAGTTAGTTAAATATAGTAAAAGATTAAGAAGTAATTTAATATTTAATAAGCCTAAATTATATTTATAAAAGCTAAGATATTAGACCTTAAGTTAAAATTAAAGCTATTATAACTAAAAAAATATTAAATAGTTACTACTAATCTTAATAATTTATTTATATAAGTTATTAATATTAAAAATATATATTAATAGCTTAATAAGTAACTTAATAGTATTTTTAGCTAAATACTATATAACCTATTAAAGGGCTAATTAATTATTAATTTATCTACCTATAAGTAGTATTTTTATGTTATTTAAATTTTATTTAGATTTTCTATAAACATTCTGCGTGGTGGGTTGTGATTTAGATAACCTGCCGAGAAGTGGGTAGTGCCGAGAAGTGGGTGGCCGACGTTAGGCCAAATCGAGCCGGGGTAACACGAATACCAAGTGTTTGTAGCACGATTAGCACGACTCGCTTGCGTAATGCGTGAGAATGATGTAACTTGCCAAAAAGGGTAAAAGATGAGCACAAAACTCGAAACTCGCACTAGTCAGTAGAGCGGGACGAGCTTTATCGGGCATAGATGGACTGTGGCGATGCGAATTCAAGCTATGCAATGTTTCACGTTTGCGTGGCGCAGTGGATTTTCGACTTGTCTGCAGGGAAGAAGATGGACTTGCATTGCAAAGGGCAGACGTGGTCAAGGGCCTTGCAATACGGGTTGTCGCCGGCGCCATGGCAGCCGATGGGCAATTCGGCGCGGTACCGGAAGCTCTATTAGAACCGCGTCTCAGGCACCACAGCCATCTGCAGTAGCGCATCGCCAGCCCGGACCTGGCCCAGGATGGCCGCGACAGCCGCGCCAGCACGCAGCCGTCGGAGGACGCCTTGCGCGTCATGCTCTGTGTTAGTTAAACAACGATAATTATCGTGAAGTTATTAGTCTAAATTCGTGTTATTAATTACTTATTCTTCCTATAAGTTAGTGTATATAGAGGCTACATATAAGTACTATTATATAAATAAAAGTAGGGCTTTACTAGCTTCTAGCTAATAAGATTTAATACCTTAATAGATATAATATTAGTAGCTTTTTTCTTTTATAGTTTAATTAAGCTTATTAAAATACTAAAAATTTATAAATAAATAGATATTATTAACTTCCCTTTCTTCCTAGCCTCTCTACTAACTTATTAAGGTTAAACCTATATAGTATTTTACTTATTTAGTATTATAAGTAAAAAATATCTTAAATAGTACTAAATAGGTAGTTATCTAGGCTAAAAGATATACTAAATTAGTTTATAAATAATATATTAATCTAGGTATATTAAATTAGGTTAAAAATACTAAAAATATAATAAAAATAAAATTTCTTAATAATACTAATATTAAAGTCTTATTATTTTACTCTAGCTTAGGGTATTTATTACTAGTCTCTTTAAATTAGCTTAATTTAGCTAATTTAATAAAAAATAATACTTTAAAAGAGAGAAAAAGAGATCTAGGTATTAATTCTCTACCTTCTTATATTTAACCTAGCCTTCTATATAAATATTTAGCTTATTTCTTTTAATAAGGTTATTTAGAGATTAATTTAGTAATCTCTTTATTATTATATTAGCTAGATTATTATTACTATTAATCTAATAAACTTTATATAGCTTATATCTTTTATATAATTATTATAATATTTAAGTCTCTTTTCTTTAGTTATTTTTAGCTTAACTAAGTATTTATAAAAGAAAAAAGAGTCTATATATATAATTATAAGGATCTCTAGTAACTTTATTTAATTTATAATTATTTTAATTATTAAATTAATAATATATCTAAGATCTACTTCTTAGACTATATTATATAATTCTAAAGCTAAAGCTAATTTTATTACCTTCTTTAACTTTATTAAGCTTTATATAATAATATTACCTTTAAT